TTCTCATGCAGATCAAAAATTTGTACATTTATGAAATGAATATCAAGTAATGAAACTGACAGCTTCACTATTCACTGAATTTCATAGACTGTTTCAAGAAATGGGCAGCAGTGGGGCAGTTGGCGTTGTTTCCTCACAGCAAGAGGGTTCCAGGTTTGAGCTGTTCCCTTTGTGTGGAGTTTGCATGTTCTACCCGTGTCAGTGTGGGTTTTCTTCAGGTTCTCTGGTTTCCTCCCACAATCCAAAGACTTCAGGTTAGGTTGATTGGTAACCCTAAAATGGCCCTTAGGTGTGAATTTGAGCATGAATGGTTGTCTGTCTCTATTACCCTTTTTTCATTACCACTTTTGGCCATGCTGAGTCAAACCATGCGCCGCCAATTTGTATTTCCATTATATTCCATCAATTACATAATTGCGATGAGGCAATTGGTTAAGTCGAAGTGAGTTGCAGTGACAGTGGATTTAGTGGAGATGTAGACTTGGATGTCATGGGCATATCAGTGGAAATGGAAACTGTGACAATGAATGATGTTACAGTTGGGGAGTGTGTAGAGAATGAACAGGAGAGGCCCAAACACTGACCCCTGGGGGAAACCTTGGGTCAGAGTGGTTGTGGAGGAGGTGCAGTTGTTGATGCTGGTGAAATGGTGTCTGATCGTGAGATATCACAGTCGGGGGAGGGCAGTGTCAGTGGTGTAGAGGGAAGTTTTAAAAGCAGCAGTGAGTCTTATGGCCTGTGCGGCTCAGCTGTGGAACATCTAAGGGTTCATAGTTTTGCCTATTTTTTCCACTAGACACATGCGGTTTTCAGCAAAAATAGACAGTGACAATGAGCCTTTGATGATCATATTAACATTACACCACTTTTCACTACAGTTTCAATTTCTGTGTCTGTCACAGGAATGAAAAAAAATTAAATATTTCTTTTTGACTTATTCCTATTTTCATTTCAAAATAAAAGCCCTCAACATTTCTGTGAACAGAATCCTTTCATTTGTTAAGACAAGGCTTTTTATTGTTAAACATTTGCAGGACTCTGTTGTTGCAGCACAGTGGCTGCACAGCTCCATAAATTTGTGGAGTGCCGGCTTTTGATTGTGGAAATACATAAGTTACAACTTTGGTAAGTCAAACCATGCCACACCAATTTGTAATTCCATTACCAGTTAAGATGCACCGAGCCACGCTGAGCCGTGCCAGAGATGGACCTTTTCTGGAGCAGGGCCACCGGACTGCAAGCGCACCCGACTGCCTCTAAGCGGGTAGCAGTGATATCTCGTCGACCACATCCAACCCCCGGATGACCCCCCCTTCTCCCCCTGAAACAAGCGTGTGTGTTGCAAGACATAACTCATGTCTGCCTGTGCATGAGTTATGTGACGCTCTCGGTCTCTCTGTGTACATGTATACTCAAACACACATATCGCGCACCCAAACAACCTGTGGACGGGACTAACTAACATCAACCTTTTTTCTGATTAGCAGAACTAACCCATCACTCAATCCATGTAGCATTTAGGGGATAGAAAATGCATGGGAAATAATTATATTGGATAAAACTATCCTTTGACACTCTTATTATTATTAAAACTGTGGTTAATAATGTATGTCTCTTTTTTTTCCTTATCTCCCATTTATTTATGTAGTCCCATATATTATGTGGGTTACAGGTGCAATAAGAGCCTGTTGTCTGCAGCTCTTCATCTAAAATCTCACTGTGGCTGTTTCTGCTTTTACTACTTTTCCCTGCAGTATTATTAGACCTATTATTATTGAAGAAAAGCTGCTAACAAAGTTCCACTAAGTCAGTGATAAATACATTTCAGATCTTTCAGATTCTTCACAATAAAAGTCCCAAATTTTTTTTTTATGTAAAAACTTTTATTGTGAAGCAGCAAAATAAATAAACGTTGCGTTTTCATCAGCAGTACCTTATAAGACTTCTGTACGGCTGAAAGCGAACATGAAACAGTAAAATAAAGCAGATATCTAAAGTAAAAATGGGACGCAGAAGAGAAACCAAACTTCATACCAGAGAGATTCAGTTAGAAGCTTCTAAAGTACTGTGAGCTGGACACACTTTTAAAACACCTTTCTCTCTGATCTCCTGCGCAGGCAGACATGAGTTATGTCTTGCAACACACACGCTTGTTTCAGGGGGAGAAGGGGGGTCGTCCGGGGGTTGGATGTGGTCGACGAGATATCACTGCTATCCGCTTAATATATGGGACTACACACCACTGCAAACAGCTCACCTCCAACCACCACCAACTTCTTGTACTTGTGCTGAGTGATTTAACTTTAACTTTACTTTACTTTGCATTTAATGTCATCACTTAATACAGTGCGTCATTGGTTAAAGACACACCTTCAAGCAGGTAGCTCTATTGTAGTGGATATGCAAATCCTGCTGCGCTGTCCTGACATGCCAAGTCAAACCAAGCCAGCATGAGTGTGAGAGAAGTGTATATGAGTCAGCCCAGTGACTGACCGGCAAGCTGTCCAAGGTGTACCCTGCCTCTCGCTCAACGTAAGCAGTGATCACTATAGGAGGTTTCCGTTATTATAATAAATTATATTATGGAAGTTAATACTTGAATAGCTAAATATGGCCATTGCTTTTAAAGACAACTTTTCAAATGTGACGATGTGCTTGAAAATCTCGCTTCTGTCAGTGTCATAGTGCTGAAACAGCCCTCCTGTGATTGTTGTGTTTTTGCTGTCCACATGCAGGCATGCTCCCTACCCCAACCTGTATCCAGATCAGTCTCCCAGTGAGGAGTGGACCATGGAGGAGCGCTTCAGACCACTCACCTTCCACGGCCTCATCCTGCGTTCCCAGCTTGTCAACCTGCTCATCAGAGGGGTCTGCTATGCTGAAAACCAGTCGGTTAGTCCCACAAACACACACACACACACACACACACACACACATACACATACACATACACACACATACACGTACACACACACACACACATATATACACATATATATATATACATATATATATTTATATATATATATATATATGTAAGTCATTTTTGTGATAGATTTCTTATATACATTCAGAGCGCCACCCAGCCCAGGTTGTCCTATGCAGAGATGACTGAAGATTACCCACGTTACCCTGACATCCATGACTTGGACCTAGCCCTGCTAAACCCCCGCATGATAGTGGTACGACCAGTTCAAACACTCAGAGTCGGAAGAGTACTTTTCAGAGTGGAATAAAAACAAAAATTTCAAACAAGATTTTTGGATATGTAAATAACAATTGTGTTTCAGTAAAAAATATGATGTTTCCTGTGTTCCCAGGATGTAACCCCCTACATGAACCCATGTCCCTACACTGTCTCGCCAAACACCCACATCTCCCAGGTGTTTAACTTGTTCAGGACCATGGGTCTGAGACACTTACCAGTGGTTAACGCTGTCGGAGAAGTAAGTAGTCATTCAAAGAGTTGTTCTGTTCGTAAATGATAAAGGTTTTCGTTCCTCCATTGTGGGCTTTTACAGATTGATACTAAGTTTTGTCACTCGATGGACCTCATTTACCAACTGTTCTTAAAGAGAAATTTCCTCTTAAAATCCATTTACACAGTTTTCACAAAGATTTTGACATTAATCAATGTTTGTTTTTTTTGTTTTTTTTTTAGGATTTGTTCTTAGGTAGAAACAGAATCTACACACATTCAAGAGCACCCTTAGGCACATTTTGTGCTGAAATGTTTGTGCTAAATAATTGGTTATTAATTTTCTTCAATTCTACTGTTGTATAATATTATAGGATAATATTTTTTTTATCATATATAATATTTTTAAGTAACCATTTTTATTATACATTACAAAAAGCAGTATGGTTTTAAAATAAGCAACACAAACACTCTAGTTCACATCAGTGATGTTAATGGGAACTGTTCCATCTAAAAATGAGTGATTGATCATGCTAGAAAATGTCACAGGCAGTTTGGGTGGGCGGCACACAAAGTGACAAACTAGCTGAGTAAGTTATTGATAACTTACAGAAACATTGTGTGAAATAGTCCACCTTCTCTTCCCCACTGTTAATTTCGTTAACTAAAACTATGATAACTTTTTTTTTTTTTCCCCATAATGAAAACAAGACGATGCCAAGCTGAAAATAGATCTTGATAATGAAAACTAAGACAAAATCTATGTTTCATCATTGTTGACGAAATTAGACTTGACAAAAATGTTAGTGGTGGGCTATCGGACATTGAAAGCCCAGAACAGCTGTGCTTGTAATTATCTTCAAATGCCGCATGAGCGACAGGCTGGTAAACTCCAGTAAATAGTCTGTGCCAGGATGTTTCGCTTGCCAGCAAAAACACTCACACCAGAGCAGCTTCAGCCGTTAGTGGGAGTTGTGAGCTGTAATTCAGTAGTAAATAATCAGCTGTGTGTATCTGACTGTGGATGGTGGAAGGTGGTAGTAATTGTGGTGATGAGATAAGATGAAGATGGAGCTGAGGATCTAGATGTGAAGAGAAGTGGGCTTTGGATGAGCTTGTCCTGGGCTCTGGATAAGGTGACTGGATGTGAATGGAATGGAGGAGGGAGCGACGATTCTGCCTAAAATGACAGCTGACAGGAGCAGAGAGGGGAACAGATTCAATGATTGGCAGTAGCAACATGAATGGCTGAAGGAGATCGTGACAAAGTTTGTGTTGGAGCCACAATAATATTCTTTGTATTTGTTTTGATTTATGTTTAACTTATGATGACTACTTGCAAATAGATGCAGTTGTGTTGTTTGTGCAAGGGGTGGCACAATAGAACAGGAAAATGCAGGTAATATAGGTTCGGTGTAGATGATGAGCAGCAAGTGTGTGACGGGTTAAGCAAACTGTTTTTTGACAGTGTTAAGAGTAGCAGCATGAAGAGTTTGTTGCATGTCGAAACTGAAATTGATGAATGGAAATTTACCTTTGGCAGATACTTTTTTACATATGTGTGTGTGTGTGTGTGTGTGTGTGTGTGTGTGTTTTGTTTTGTTTTTTGAAAATGAAGCCATGAAAGAGATCAGTTGACTGTGATGTGAAGACTGAGGATAGAAAGAGCTGACTTAAGGGAGGCAGAAAGATTGATAAATATATATATGGAGAGTCATATTGAAAAGAAAAAAAGTGAGTGGTGTTGAGACAGGATGAGGTCTAATCACTGAAATAATACTAAGGCTAAATATGAAGGCAGCAATGACAAACAGAAATGATAGACTAACAACCAAACAGAAGCTATTGTGAATGGTGCACAAGGTCCAAAGTTTAAAGGGCCAGTGTGTAAAATGGGTTAAAAACAGTGACATCAGTGGTCAAATTCTAGATTGCAGGACTCACTCGCTCACCCCTCCCGTCGGGTAAATGACGGTGGCCTTTTAGGGACAAAAAGCCTTGTGCACTATTTTTTCAGGAGTAGGTCTATCTAGCGACGAGGTGAATGTTTATTTAGAAATCTAAACCATGTTATGATATTGTAATGAATCCCTCACGAGCAGGAGACCAAAGGAGCGTTCGGGGAAAAGGCCAGTTTATTTGAGCACTCCAAAAACTCCGGTAACACTACAGGGGGTAAAAGACTCCGTCCCAAACTCTGACTCTTCTAGCATAACACACACACACTTCATACACACATACTCGTTTACCATTCCGAGTGGGGACCCCCTCCCCTCTCTGCTCCGCCAATCTCCAGCCCGCACACTGACTGACAGCGTAGCCGGTAAACAGAGCTCAGCTGTATATTTAGCCTAGCAATATCTCTGGACTATAGTAGCTGCAATGGACGACTTTGAACGCGATTTTGAAGAGTTTCTTGTAGTGGACACAGACCCAGAGCCATACCTGTTTGAGCCGAAGCATACAGATGAGGAACTCCATGTGTTTGATGCTGGGCGGGCGAGAAGAGAGGCTGAATGCACAGAATGGGATTCGGTGCTACTGCTACCATTGCTGGGGAGATATATCATCAGGAGGAAAAGTGCCGCAGAGAGTGCATCACAAGGAGTGAAGTTGCGTCTTCTTTTCCTCGCAGATGACGGTTCGGGTTCATTCTCTCCTGTTGCGTGGTAAGTGTGGTCCATTCGCAAATTTTATAACTAAAAAAACTTTTCACTACTCTCTATCGACGAACTACTAACACTCTCTGCTGTTTCCTCCTCCTCTTTCCTTCCTTCTGCTGTCTTCGTTGGTTCATTTATACACGCGAAACGCTTTCTCTGGCTGGCTGGATTGTCTGCTCGGTCTGCCGTACATACATGGCGGTGCAAGATGGCAACCTCTCTAAAGCAAGACCCTTGCTATATTTATATAAAATCATAATTATAAGGCTATGAAAACCAAACGAATTTTATTTTATAGCGATTATACACTTATATAAACATATTAATGGGTAGAATATTCAGATTCAGATTCAGATTGACAATAAACCATGCCAAATATTACACACTGGCCCTTTAAGAGAAAACGCACACCAAATACTCTTGAGGTGCTGATCACTGGAGGAAGATCAGTTGAAGAAAAAAGTGTTGCACACTCTGGCTCCACATGCAGTTTATTTAAATCAACGTTTCGGCCACATGGCCTTCTTCAAGATTTGCACTGATCACAGACAAAGGAAGGCTATATAGGTCAATTGGACCATGCCCTGATACTGATTAGCCAATCATATTTCCCCACTTGGGTGGAGTAACAAGAGGCCATTAAAAAAAATTTCAACAGTGACAAAAAAAAAAAATGACAAAAAAAAAAAAAAAAAATCATCAGTTACAGCCAATCAAAGATATCATAAGATAAAGGAACCATTATATATTCTGCATTAAATTTTTTTATATCAATATATTTTTTACAATATCCACATTGCTTTATCAAAATTACCTTTAGACATGTAGATCAAGTTTAACATCAGTTCTAAATGAACATCATAAACAACTTAAACTAGATATCTAAAAATCTAAAACACAGGGGGGATTTACTTCAGAGAAAACATCTTAGGTCATAATCAATATTTAATCCATGAGGTGACAGGGTTTTCAGATGGTGGATCCAATAGTGTTCTCTTCTTGAGAGTAAGACATCCAAGTTTCCACCTCTAGGGGGGAGAGATACCTCTTCAATGCCGATATATCTTAGGGAGGAAATTGGATGATTAAATTCAACAAAATGAGCTGCTGCTGGATAATTCAGGTACTCCTTTGTTCGGCAATACGAGTTTTGAGCACTCTGCTAGTTTTTCCAACATATGACTTACCACAAGGGCAAGTGATAAGATAGATGACTGACTTTGTATGGCACGAAATAACTCCTTTTATGGAAATCTCTTTTCCTGTGTGAGGATGTTTAAAACTATTACAACGGTACGTATAATTACACTGACTACAACAGCCACAGCGATGGTTGCCTTGAGGGATAGGTGTTAAGTTCAGTTTTTCCTTATCCGCTGTGAGGGTCTTAAGGACAGAGGGATGTCGTATGCTGTAAAGCCCTGTGAGGCAAATTGTGATTTGTGATATTGGGCTTTATAAATAAAATTGAATTGAATTGAATTGAATTGTTAAGGTAGTTTGAGCTGGTATTGATTGGGGAGGAGGTAAATATGAGTGTATCAAGTGATCGCTCAGATTTTTACCTCTTTTATATACTATAAGAGGTTGTTTTTCAAATGCGTCATTAAATTGGTTATCAGATTCATGTACAGTACAGGCCAAAAGTTTGGACACACCTTCTCATTCAATGCGTTTTCTTTATTTTCATGACTATTTACATTGTAGATTCTCACTGGAGGCATCAAAACTATGAATGAACACATGTGGAGTTATGTACTTAACAAAAAAAGGTGAAATAACTGAAAACATGTTTTATATTCTAGTTTCTTCAAAACAGCCACCCTTTGCTCTGATTACTGCTTTGCACACTCTTGGCATTCTCTCCATGAGCTTCAAGAGGTAGTCACCTGAAATGGTTTCCACTTCACAGGTGTGCCTTATCAGGGTTAATTAGTGGAATTTCTTGCTTTATCAATGGGGTTGGGACCATCAGTTGTGTTGTGCAGAAGTCAGGTTAATACACAGCCGACAGCCCTATTGGACAACTGTTAAAATTCATATTATGGCAAGAACCAATCAGCTAACTAAAGAAAAACGAGTGGCCATCATTACTTTAAGAAATGAAGGTCAGTCAGTCCGGAAAATTGCAAAAACTTTAAATGTGTCCCCAAGTGGAGTCGCAAAAACCATCAAGCGCTACAACGAAACTGGCACACATGAGGACCGACCCAGGAAAGGAAGACCAAGAGTCACCTCTGCTTCTGAGGATAAGTTCATCCGAGTCACCAGCCTCAGAAATCGCAAGTTAACAGCAGCTCAGATCAGAGACCAGATGAATGCCACACAGAGTTCTAGCAGCAGACCCATCTCTAGAACAACTGTT